AATCTCAGGGTTTGTGAGTTCGAGTCCCACCTTGGGCGAAAAGATTCCCGTTTCTAACTCTAAAATTCTATACTTCCTCAGATCCACGCGACTTACTCCCAGGTAAGCAAAGGTTTGCGCCACTGGGTTTAGGATCAGAGCGAGAACGGCAAAAGCTACTGATGGGAGTGGCCTCCGTGAGATCACACCCAGGCCTGTGTACCCAGACGACCGAAAAATATCAAGGCAATATCCGAGATGGTCAGCGCAGGAGTTGGTGAATATCTGCGCATGCGCACAGACCCCTGGAAAAAACCCGCCACTGGGGCCTCGCATACATTGTATACATTGTTCTGTTTCTGCAGATATAGTTAACATCTAACCCGAGTTGGGAAATAATCGAAGTGGGAAACGCTCCATAATTCTCTCCATGCGCCCGTCCATTAGGCTGCAATCCTAAACATACTTAATAACAGCCGCAATCCTAAACATGCATAATAAAAAGCCCTGCACATTGGGAGTGACCTCTGCAGAAATTTGTATTCGCTTGCCCTGCTAGAAGTCAGTCCACTGGAATTAACCCGAAGACTAGGGGAAGCAAGCCGGGAAGCGGAAGGTTCTGATCTAGCTTTCTCCTTGACATGCTACTTGTCTACGTGCAGGGAGCGTTAGCTTTGTCTGGAAGAGCATTTAGTCGCAAGGTACACCGGTTTACCACCTCTGGGATTCTAGGCCAGAACTTGGGGAGAACTTCAGTTTCAAAAGACAAGTCAAACTGGAGTGACAACCTTGTTCAGGCTCCTTTTCACCCCAGTTAGACATGTCTTCGGAGACTGAGGTTTGATTCCTGGCTGACCCGTCCCGAAGCCTGTTTAAAGCACTCCAGACTTCCTAGGAAGCGCGTGTGGAGGTGGCGGGGTGGAATTCTGGGTGAACCTGACCCCACCTCCGAGTCTAGGCCTGACGTCTCAGGAGCAACCTCTTCTGGGTCGGAAGTTGACTGGTGCACGTTTGCGCCCCAGAACGAAACCGAACCAGATCAAAGGCGCCCCCCCCCAAATGCAACCAAGGCCTCCAGCTGTGACCGGGGCGCCCTGCTCTGAACCTGCCCTGCAGACTGAAAAGGGGGCGCGCGGACCCGGGGACGGCGCAAGACACAGGTTTTTAAGAACACACATTCGGGACCGTGGCTTGGTGATCCGAAGTAAGACGAGAATGAGCCTCACAGTATCACAAGCACGCACCACCACCCCATTCAGAAGAGAACCACGCATGCGCACTCATTTCAACTTTTTTTTTTTAAAGGAAAATCAGTGGGACGAGAAAGGAGACCTAAGGAAATAGAGGAGGGAGGGAATGGGGGGAGAGGCGAAAAAGCAAGGTGAGCCAGAAGTGCCAACTGGAATAAAATATTGGGGGGGGGGGGCAGGTAAGCTAGGCCATACATAATCGATCACATGACGCAGTGCACAAACACTATTTGAATGGGAATGCCCATCAACTTTGTAGGGGCGCAGCCGCCGCAAATATTTCCTTGTGGGGGCGGAATCCCCCACGGCCCCTAGGAGTTGGCTCCTACGAGGTGAGCTTAGTGGAAATGAAGCCCCATTTGGCTCAAGGGGTGTATAAACTGTCTGGAACTGAATTGGGCTGTTTGGGTGTGTGTAAAAGCAACGAGGGCTTAGCCCCCAGTTACATCAGTGTATTTGCACGGCATTGGATCGCCCTTTGTAGGTCTGTGTGCGTCACGGAGAGGAACACAAGCCAGGTGCGCTTCCTTGGGAGTAAGACTTATTGAAAGGATTTATTAGTCAACCAAGTATTGGAGCGGGCTAAAAGAGAGAAGGCGAGAGGGAGGGCGAGAGACGGCAGAGCCAGGGAGAAAAGCATTTTCTAGACACCAGGAGTGAAGGCGACCGAAGTCGTTCCAGCACCTACTTTGGGAAAGCGCCCGGTCAGCCCCGTCGCGGTCCTCCTCCTCCTCCTCCCCGCACCGCCTCCCCTAGCCTCCGCTTCCCGCTTTCCACCTCCGCCACTGTCATGTCCCCGATCTCGCTTTGCGACCCCCCCCTCGGGTCCGGCCCATCGGGTCGCATCTTTTTTTGCGGAGGGGGGCGCAAAGTTGGTCCCCTCCCCGCCTTCGGACGCCAGCGCCGGGCGCAGCAGCCGCAACGCGGCCTGCGTAATCCGGGCGCACTTTAAAAGAGATGAATTAATAAAGCAAATGAGGACTTAATAATTCCGAGCGTCCTGCTTCTTATGGAAACGGGGGCGGAGGGGGGGTGGAGAGAGAGAGGGGGAGGGAGGGAGGGAGAGAGAGAAAAGTGCGCCCAAATTGTTTGCAGTGGATCAAGGCGAGCCGCCTTTTGCTTCACTTTCTTTATCTTAATTCCGACTTGAAAAGATATAATTATCTAGTTTGAACAGAGCTGCTATCAAATCCTTCTTTAGGCAGGGAAGGGGGAAGCTGGAGTGGGCTGCAGTGTTCTGAGCCGCTCGGTGGAGCCTGAGATAGCGAGTAATGAAGTTGTGGAGTCCTCAGATACAAAGGGCATTAACCTCATTAGCATGAAACCTTTTCTTCTAGCCATTGTGGGACTCTTTCAGACTCCTAATCCCCCCTATTTTCAAAGCTTGGTTTGTAATAAAGCTTTTAGGGGTTTCCCTCCCCCCCCCCAAAGCTAATAGCATTCTCTGAAGATTTTATTGCTGTTACGCTACATAGGACGCTTAATATATATATTTTCTTCTTCTCCCCTTTCCTTCAATCTCCTCTCTCCCCCCCCCCTTTTTTGCGGTTTAAGGGAAGAAAGAGGGGAAATTTATTTATTTATTTATCCGAAGCGAGAAGCTCCTGCATCTCGCAGAGGGGGGAAAATAAGCTGTTCCCAAAAAAAAAATAATTAAAAAATCAAGATAGGAAACCATTTCGAGGACTAAAGCCTAGGAAGATGGGTAATGTGTGGAGAGGTTTTTTTAAAAAATGAAATGAAATGAAACAATTGTTTATTTTATAGCAGGGAATTTATTTTTAAGGTGCTAAAGAAATCAAACTCCCGTGGCCCGATTTTATTGGAAGAGGAGTTTTTAAAGGGAGAGACAGAGAAGGAGGAGGAGGAGAAAGGCTGGGGGAGGGGAAAGAATGAGAGATGAAGGAGGAGGAGGAGAAAGAGAAAGAGAAAGGCGAAGAGAAGTTTACCTTAGGAGTTTGGCTCCTAGATGTGGAGTGGGAAGCGGCGGGGTTGAAGGGACAGAAGAGGGAATTTCTCCCAGGGCACCTTCTCTTTCTCACTGCTCTCTGGGTGGAAAGTCACCCATTAGGATCGAAAGGAGAAACAAAGAACGGTCATTATAATTATTATGATTAATCATCATCATTGTTTTTTAAAGGCCTGAAAAAGAAAAGAACCCGACCCGGACCTTTTAAACCGAATTTCCATAGCGCCATATACTGGACAAGCACGTGCGCGGAATGCCTAATCTGAACTTTCAAGGCAGGATGCTGAACAAAGCTGGTATTTTCGCGACGCATTGTAACTTCGCCTTATCACAGTGTAAAGGGTAGTCAGATTGTCCTAAATTATGTCCAACTAGCCCCCCTGGATCCACGGATTAAGAGATTAAAGGAGACCACTGGGCAATGGCTCCTCTTTCCCCTTCATATTCCTGGTATGATAATTGCCTAAACTGATTTGCACTTCGACAAAAAAGTCTTTGTAGCTGGAACACTGCAGACGAGGTTTGCGCTGTCAATGGAAAGAAAACTGATTAATGCAGCCTATCAGGCTAAGGAGCAAATGAAGCATGAATTAATTTTTTTGTTGGGGGGGAGGGGAAAAAACCAACAACCTGGGGCACCCCAGAAAGCCAGCTAGCTTCCTCAAGGATTAGGGGAAACTTTTTACCCTTTTCTTTTTCAAGTTGGCAACCCTCCCTTCCCCTTCCTATGTCCCCACCTCGCTCTCTCTCGGAAAGTATAAACATTAATACGACAAGGAAACAAATAAAAATCCTACCAGCTTCTCCTGCTCCCAAGGAATACTTGCAAGCCTGCTACAGCTGCGGAACGCCTCGTTTTAGACTTGCTTCTAAGGCGTCGTGCTACGCTTATCCTAAAAACATGCCAGAAGCGGCGCAATCCTATCCGCGTCTACTCAACAGTAAGCCCCACTGAGTCAGACCGGGGACGCATTCTCAAGTTAAGTGAGTGTAAAGCTGCAGGAAGTTCGGGTGGAACGGAAAAGAGTTCAGTCGCGTGTGTTGGAGGCGAGGTTAAAAAGAAGGAACGGAACCGCGACGCCAGGTTTTAAAGAAAGAAAAATGACCAAATGAGCTCTATAACCCCCCCCCCGCTTAATGCGGAAGTAAATTCGCGTTGATTCAAGTGGAGCCTCCGATTTAACGAAGCTGTCCTTGACTAATAGGTACCTGGACTCGCCAGCAGAGCGATCAACAAGCCAGTGTCAGAGAGTATTTGGATTTCTACCGGAACTAAAACAGCAGCTATGCAAACGCGCCCACGAAGGAGAGCCCATTTATTTCCAGGAAAGATTACTTCCGATTACTGTGATTTGATAGGAGTACAATCACGGGGCCCTTTCACACACACACACACTCAAGCAAACCCGAGTTTCCCACCGCGTAGGCGCTGCACAGTCAGGGCAGGCAGCTAATTCTGACTTTCTGGTGCCTGCACGTGCATGGCACACGAATTCACACCCACACGTTTTCGTGAAATCCATAATTCATTTTTAGATGCACACTTAGAATTTAGTTGGGCCGGTTCTGACATACTGTAGAAAAAGTCCTCCGTTTGCTCTGGGAACGGTTTGGGGGAAGAATGCGTTTGATGGTCAGGGTGAGGAGATCTCTATTGGGCTTCCCTGTTATTTAAACGTCTCCTGAGGGGTGGCTGCCTGTTGCTAGCATCAAATCAAGGTCATCGGGTCTATGGGCCAGCAGAGAAGAGATAAGTGGCAGGGACTTAACCTTTCCGAAGGGAAAAACTGTGCTTAAAGTTGTTAGGCCATATTGATAAATCTTTATTGACAAAATATTGACATTGAGATACTTCTTGGAAGTATATAGTGTGTTAGAATTCTAACAAATTAAACACAAAAAACACAAAAATATTTACATTCTGGTAAAGAAGACATTAAGGAAACATTTGTCATTTTTAGTAGCTCTATAATCTTGGATCATCAACATCAGTGCTTGAAATTTGTCCCCAATGAAAACGGGCCTGGGTCGAAATGATTTCTACAGAGGGATCTGCAAGATCCCTTGCTCCTTCTGAAGTCCTGCGGGAGTTTGAGTACAAACCCCCATCCAAGGAGGAGGGGGATTAAAAGGAGGAATCGAAGTTTTAGAATGTGGGGACTAGTTTCTTTAAATCTCTCTTTTTATTATTGTCTGTTTTTGCAGCAAAAGTTCCCTTCCCCACCCCTCCACCCTCAACAACCCATCCCCTTTTTTCTTCTTCAAAGGTTATATCCATTGGGGGGAGGGGGAAGCAAAAACAAAATTAAAAAAATAAAATAAAAAATTAGAATTTGTTACCGCTACTTCATTGAGTTTTCACAACCACGTTGACGCCAGAAGTTATCATAAAAAGGTTTACAGACTGCACAGTTTCTCGTAAAATAAATTTAAAAAGCACACAGAACCTGTCTCTGAGGAGGGGAGGGGGGGAAGCGCAGTTCATGTCTGACTTTAGGGACCATTAAAAAAAAAAGGCCCTACCCCCCTCCTTCTTCTTCCCCCTCCCTCGAGGTTTTTAAAATTTTTAAAAAGAAAGCATGCAGTTCAAGTTTCTCTGAAACAGGTGTGTCGATTTTGGCTGGGTATGGGATCCTCTCTCCTAAAAGCCTGGGAGACACTCAGAATCATCATTAATAAGAACAAAATCCCTCGTCAACTGCAAAGTGTCCCGGTACGGTTGCGTGTGTATGCGATCCCTTTAAAAATTTGGAGCGATCTGAGTTCGAATGGCGAGAAACGGAATATTGGTCAATCACCCCGTCTTGGTGGTTTGGCTTTGATTGACAGATTCCCCTCCCCCCCCTTCTCTTTTTTGCGCTTAAAACAAAATTGTACCAGTGCAGGACCAGCCAAGGCCCCCACCCTTGATGGACTGACTTCTGGGCTGGCTTAAACTGGCCGGCCGGCTCTCGCCCCCTCTCAAACTGCCCCTCTCTAAAACAGAAACAAAAACAAACAAAAACAGAAAAACAGAAAAACGAGAATCGCCTGGTGGGATCCAGCCGGTTTGCTGTCCCTCGCCCTGGCCGCGCCACTCACTTTCCTGCGGTTGTCGCGAGCCTTTAACACTTGAGTTGTTCGTGGGAAAGTCTGTTAAGTGCCAGCCGGGAGTTTTGCCGCCGCCGCCGCTTCGTCGTCGTCGTCTTTTTATTATTACTATTATTGTGTGTGTTTTTTAAAGTGGGAGATGATTTAATCGTCCGACGTGACGTCGATCTCCTCCGGGCTGGCTTGTTTGGTGGCGATCCTCCACCGGTTAATATGATGAGTCCCCTTTTTCTTTTGTTGGGAGTCCGAGCCTTCCTCTTCTAACTTCTGCCGCTTGAACTTTGTCCTTCGGTTCTGAAACCAAACTTTTACCTGCAGAAAGGGAAACAACACAGACAGGGCTGTCAGCTCCCGGGCGGCGGATGTGCGTGGCCTAAGGGTCTCTCTCTCTCTCTCTCTCTCTCTCTCTCTCTCTCTCTCTCTCTCTCACACACACACACACACACACACACACACAACACAAGGGGCGGTTTCTGCACCTTTACCGGGTCCACTGCAGAAAGAGAATAAGCCTCGCTTCGGAAACAGGTCTCCTGATGGTTTACACCAGGTAGACATGTCTGTCTCGGGTAAAATGAACACAGCATAGCAGCACTGGGACATTCTCGCCCTAGCAGCACCCACTAACCCGGCAACAACGACCCTCTGCGCGTGAACTCAGTAGGGGTTATTGTGATGATTATTTAATGTATTTGCATCCCGTCTTTTTTTCCCCCCAAGCAGGAATTCAAGGCGGCTTACAACAGTTAAAAATCTTCATTATAAAACGCAAAGCACTAAAACAAACTAATTGCTTCTGAGTAATTAGGAACAAGGTCGGGTTTGAAATCGATTTTTTTTTTTAAAAAAAAGGGTATTTAGGTCAGGCACTCCAAGCTTCCTAATTTCCCCTCCCTGACTTCGATACCTTCTCCTTGGAAGTGCCATGTGGCCACGCAGTGCGATCCTATGGCTGTTGGCTTGGAAGGGGCCGGGCTGTGCTCAGTCTGCTGTTAAGCAATCGCGTGGACTAAGCACAGCTCTGTTCAGATTCGGAGAATCCTCTGGCTATAGCGGGACTGGAGGAGATGTGGCGTTTCTCGCCTGCTTTGCATGCTTACTGGGAAGTAAACGCCATATAAATTAATGGGACTTCCTGTTGCTTAGACAGACAATGCCCGGATCAAAGGCAATCTCGTTGACTTCACGGGAGCTCACCTCCTGCCTCGCCTAGGACTCAGTTAAGCCGCAGTAATTGGGGTTTTAAGACTAATCCCCCACTTTGAGCGCAGCCCTTGGAAATGCGCCCCCACTGATTTCAACTTAGGACTGCAGCTTTTCACCCCGATTCTGAACTCATTTGTGGCATTACATTCCATATGAAATCAATAAGGGTTCACATTCCAGGAAAAAAACAACAACAAATCGTTTAGGATCATCGTGCCGATGCATTGGAAATCCAAGCATCTCGCTTCAGCTCCGCTGTGGATCGCAATGGGGGGAACTGGATTTTGAATTTCAGTGTAAACAAATGACTACAGTGGAGATCTGGCTTTACTCCGAAGCAGAGGCTACAGCTATGGCGATCCTCTCTTTTTGCGCGCGGTGGCCCCGTCGCGCTGAGAGCCGGAAGTGTAACTATGGAGACGCGAAGGCGGGGCACGGCCCAGACAAGGAGCCTCTCCCTTTTCCCTCCCCAGGTGCAGGCAGCCCTCGTGTGCAGAGGTTTACACGCGATCTGGAACCCCAGAAGATCCTGCCAGCGTCTCCGCCGTGGCTGTATTTTCGCTCAACTCAGGAGAACACCGAGTCTATGCTCCTCCACTTACTTACTCCAGAGTAGTCATTAGAGCCCATCCTAATGCCTGGGGGATCTGCAACTTATAGGCAGCGCGCGTCTGATCTTCCTTATAACCCCAGTCAACCGTAGGCCCAAAGGCTGCACTCGGAAACAAGTCCCCTAGCCTTAAAAAGTGATTTTACTGCCAGATAAGTTCGCTTGTTTACTGTATAGCCTTACATTCCGATCCTAAATAAGTTTGCTTGGAAACGAGCCCCGTGGACTCAGCCAGACTGACTTCCATTGTGAGCAGAAATTGAGATCGCCCCACTGGGCAATCCGTGCCCATTCCCATATGCACGCAGGTCTCTATATACAGCCTTCAAATTTAGACCGTCTGTCTGGCTTTAGAAAGACGCTGTGCATGTGATCTACTAGCAGAAAGGACAATATTTTGTGGCGTCCCGTCCCCCCCCCCTCTCTCCGCATCTGTATGTGGGTGATCTGCCACTCTGTGGCAGTCAGGTCTGCACGATGCTCCTATACATATATGCATTGCAATGTACACTTTTTCTGCAGATGTGAACCCATTCGCCCATACTATCTGCTACAGATGCGTTTTAGAAACACCGCACGTACTCCGACTCGCTTTGCTCTCACACGTGTATTCCGTGCACCTATGAATGGTGCGTGTGTGAATGCTGTGTCCCGGTCTCTCCTCTCAAGCTCACATATTTCCTCTCCAGGCAGCTCTCTCTTGATACTCGTGTCAACTGCACTTTGCATTACAGACGGTGGGATTGAGAAGGACATTGAGAGTTCTAAGGGCATTTCCCCCTTCACCGCCCTCAAATATTAATCGCATCGGCAGCCATTCGAAATCAAGCAATTAACCAAACCGAGATGGTTGCATTTTTTTAATCTTCACCACCACTTATCTCATAACCGGTTTTATATAAATTTAACGTCCGTATTTATAAACTCCTGGCTGTAAAACTGGTCTTTAAAACCTACAATAAGGATATATTTTCCTAAGGAGCTGAACCTGGTTTCAGGTTTTAAAGGTGGAGGGGGGGGACTATTCAACCTTAATTAAATATAATAAAAGGGGGAAGCTGAAGAGCTGCGTTAATTAAGTAGGAGGTTCGAATTTGCCTGCTCTAAATCGACGTGTCTTTTGTACCCCGAGCCTGCCTGCCTCATCATCAAAGGGGCAAGAAGGACATATTTCCCGGTGATGCTTCGGTGACAGCGGCCCGGGTTGCAAGCCATATGGGGAAGTCCTTCAAGTATCTCGGGGAAGGGGGTGGGAAGAAGGGAGAAGGGAAGCCCCCTACGAATTTGCTTTGGCTCGCCTAAATCTGAATTAAACATAACCAGCTGACCCTGTCAGTCATTTAATTGCAGATCTTATTGATCCCGAAATTATCTCCAAAGAGAGAGGGACACACACACACACACACACACACACACACACACACGATCCTCGTTGCGGCCAAAGGTAAACACTGTTCGGCTTTTTTTCTTTTTTTTTAAGCACTTTCTGCTCTGATTCGGCCTGAAAATGCCTGATAAAGACGCTGCCGGTAAAGGGAGGGGAGGACGTAAATCCGAAAACGGGACCATTTTAATAAGCTCCTTTAACCCGCTTCGCTGCCCCTTCAGAAGCCCTTCGCTGCCAGACGCTCCCCACCCTTCCCTCTCCCCACATCTCGGCCGCATTTTCATATTCTTAAAAAAAAAGCCTCCCATTTAAAATAGCTGAGCGGGGGGATATACAAGGGCGAGTTTAATTCGCTTTTCAGTTTGCTAATTGAAGGGGACGACGGTTCATTTCTCCACGCCTGGTCTCCAAAGGGGCGCTCGTTTTGTCGGGGGCTGGAGGCCTGACACCGCCACAATAGACCCCGACCAGCTTCGGAATCAAGCGGGACAAAGACCACCTTAAATACGGCCTTTGCCAGTGGAAATCAGGCTGTGACCAGGCCCTTGTTCGGCGAACCTCATCAAAGGGGCGACCCATTTACTGGGGGTTTTGTTAGGGGAGACATCTTTAAAACAAAAGGCCCGGCCCTCTTTAAGGCGCCCCCAAAGAAAGGCAGGAAAAGGGGACGGGGGGGGAGAGAGAGAGAGAGAATGAGGAGGGGGGGCCGAAAGTGTTACAACTTAATCCGACCAAAGAACGTTACTGTTTACTGGGAACTTTGAACTAAGCTGCGCCTATTTTTCCTTCTTCTCTGCCTTGCTCCCCCCTCTTCGCTTCCTTGAAATGCAGAGCCCCGGAGAGAACATTCCTTTCGAAATAGCCCCGGCGTCTTGGAAAGAGAGAAAAGCGTTTGGAAAAGGCCATCGAACTTCTGTTAAGGGAGGAGAGCAGTAACAAAAGCCTCTGAAAATCGAGATATTTGAAAGGGGGGGGGAGGCCAGAGACGGAGCCCCTCAAGCAAACAAACAAACAGAAAAGAAGGACGACGGCATGCATCCTAAACAAAAAACCCGAGCAGCCAAACCAACCATCTGGTTTGAAACGTACGCACATATATACAGCAAGGCAGCTGGGCAGTCGAACAGATTAATTTGATCTGATCTCGCGCGCGCACACACTGCAAGGTTCACACAATTGATCTTTCTGCCTGGCACACTCTACAAGAAACGAGCGCAAGTCTCATCTGGGCGACTGTCAAACAACGCCATTCTTCCCATCGCCGGATCGCCCTCCGCACCAGCTTTTTGATGTGGCCTCCCCCCCCTCCCTCCCCAAACCTTATCATTCTATTTCACTGGCACAATTTGCTGGAGGGTCAGCGGGACATACGCCGTTGGCAGGGAAGGGCTTCAAAAAAGAAAAGGGGGGGGGAGACAACGACCAATATTGCCAGCCCCCGGGAAATAAACCGCCCGGTCCGTAGCACAGTTAAATACGGGGGTTTTAAAGCGGTTTTGTTGCTCTGATGCAAAATGCAGGGGTTTTGGGGGGCGTCCAGTTAACACGCAAAGAACTTTGCGGCTAACACGGTTGTTGGGGCATAAGCTTTCCTGGACTCAAGCCCGCTTCATCAAACTGAACACGTGAGTGTGTGTAGATAAATATTTATCACACATTTAAAATGCGTAGTATTTAACGTCGGGCTGGGTCAATAGAACGTCACTAGAAAGTATTCGAAACACTTTCGCTCAGAGTCTACTTCTACCGAAATGGAACGGAATGTATTCAGGTTGGGACTGTGAAAGGGTTTAATTATTGTTAATTTGGTGTAAATGGGGGAATGGATTAAACTATATGGAGTTAACTGTATGGAGGAACCTACTTTCAATTTCAGAAGTAAACAAGGCGGGGGGGGGGAGAACTCCCAACTTTCCGCTTGAGGTCTCTCTGTCTATAGTTTGAAATCGTTTAAATCCTACATTCAGGGAAAAAGACACAACGAACAGCACCCATTTCCCAAACCTAGTCTACTCCTCAAATAACAAAGCAAACGCTTCCTTTGCACTGCGCAGTTTCACAAACTATAAAACCAAACCAAACCAAAAATCGATTGGATAGTTCTCAGCGATAAACACACATTAAATATTTCAAAACTCCTCATTTTCTTTAATTAAATGGAGTTCAATTTAGAAATGCAATTTATTTCTCCGCCTTCAAATTTGACCCTGGATAATCCCAACGGTACGATCCGGAAGCTATTTAAACCGAACTACCTTGATAAAAATCTTGTTCATGCCGCTGGGGCGAAATATCCTGTTACTTTGGCTTAAACAGGTAGCCTCTAGATCTACAATAATTGACATAACATACGTTTTTCTAATACAGTAACAATACCAATAATACTCCACGAGCTTTCTGAAACAAAACAAGACAAATCTTTGGGAAAAGATCCAGAACGCTTTTGTGATGGGGAGGAAAGAAAGAATCGCGGCAGCCAACACACAGGGACAGAGTTTAGAATTCCCACGTTAGCTTACACCTCTATCTTCTTACACATGAACCTGGCTTCTCCCGCCCCCCGCAGCCCTTGCAAACTCAACCCAGGGCGGTGGGGGTTTGTTCAGAGGCCCAGGCCTTGTCTTTGAGCGCGCGCCGGAGCGGCCTGCCGGGTAGAGACGCTCTCTCGCTCCTCCTGCACCTCACCTGAGTTTCTGTGAGACTGAGGCTGTGCGCCAGTTGCTTCCTCTCTGCCCCTACGACGTAGTGATTTTTCTCAAAAGCGTGCTCCAGTCTCAGTAACTGGGAAGGGGAAAAGGCGGTGCGGATCCGTTTGGGCTTCCTGGCTAGTGCATTGTGCAAGAGGAAACTCTCCGGGCTGGTTTCATTGCCTGGATTCCGAGACAAAAAAAAAAAAAAAAGACATTCATGAGCCAAGCAAGCCTACTTATTAGCATTGTGCATCTCTAATCGAAGGTGGAGGGGGGGAGGGGAGGGGGGAACTTGAAGCGGAAAGTCTTCCCATTATTTTGAACCTTTCTGTCTTTGGCACCTCTGCTTGGAAGTGATTTCCCTACTTAACATGTGCTTAAATTCTCACCCAGCAGACTGACTTTTTTTTGGGGGGGGGAGGGAGAGAGAGAGAGACAAAAGGTGCAGACCCTGCAAGATCAGAACGAAACTAACATTCACTCAGAGAATGTCTCCCAGGGAAGAAAGCGACGGAGAGGAAATGTCAATTGGTCGGCTTCATATATCTTTTTTAAAAACAAAAACTCTGGGTATTTGAATGAACGCGTGGGGGGGGGGGTTAGGTGTGCAAGGGGGAGGGGGGACAGCTGACTTCCGATTAAGGGGGAAAGAGCCCCCTCAATACAAGAAAGCAACTAATTATTTCACAAGGAAATTAATCTCGCCAACATTCAGCGAGCTAAAGAGGAGAATTCGCAACCATCTTCTAGGAAACCCCAATTTCGAAAAAATGGCACCCCCCCTCTTCATCCAAGGAGTTTCCTATCATCCTATTCTGACACCGCCTTTTACATGCAGGTAGTTACTTAAAAATAAAATAAAAATCCGCACAAGAACCATCTTTTCGAAGACCTGCACCAGGTATAAAGTCGCCACCTTCGACCGCCTTGAAAACTTCCAGCAGAAAGAGCTGCTTTGGCGAACATCTGACAAAGCAAAAAGATCCAGACTCTTCCTTTTAAATGGGGATGGGGGCTGAAAATGGGAGAAGAGGAGGGCGGGGGCTCTCTTTCCAATGCCCACAGAGCCGCCGCGTTTGTCATCTGTCAATTGCTGGAAGAGTTTCCCCGCCAGGCTTTTTGCAGAGACACCCGCCATCCCCACAATCGCTCTACCTATTTTTGCGCCTCGGTCGTTTCATCCGACGCGGGGCCACAATAACAAGGCAGGCAAATCCCTCCTTTGCGATGGAGCCTCCTTCAGAAAGCTGCTCACGACAGCGGGGGAAATGACGGGGTGAACGAAACCCCTCATTTCCCACCGAGAGGTTATAACGATAATACTAATAACCCTAATCGACTCTCTCCCTCCCTTCCGTCCCCTATTCTTGGAAACCATTCCATTTCAAAAGAGGTGCTTGCATGGATTCCCAACCCCTTTGGTTACTCCTTATTGCACTTTGTAAAATTAATTGATTGGGGTGGGGGCTTAGCAAGGAAGTTAATAAGACTAGTGGGATACAAACAAACTCGGTTTCTGGGTCCCCAGAAGCTCCAGGTCTTAGCAGGACAACTGTGGGGTAAGAGGCAGGTAGGAGGGTCTCCTTTGACTGAGTGCGGGCCACACTTCCTTATCACCCTTCAAACTCGTTTTTATAACGTTTGGCTTCCCGAAGACAAACGGCTTGTGCGCTCTCTCTCTCCTCTCTTTCTCTCTCCTGCATGGGGGTGGGGGGGACACACACGAAAGCAATATTCTAGCCCTGCCCGTTTGTGCTCTCTCTCCTGTTAGTTTGTCCGTGTAAACCATGGAAAAGTGAAAGGAAGAAAGTTATTTCTGTACAAAATCTTTTTCCAATTCTTGCCTTGTTTTCGTTATTCTTTTTTTCTGGAAGATGGTCTGGGTGGGCTTATGGGAGAGGCAAAAAAATAATAATAAAAAATTGGGGAAATATTCCAGTGCCATCCCTTGTAAAAGAAAAACCACTGAGAATTTAGGAGTCATTGACTTCAAACTGAGCGTTCTTTCCCAGTAAAGTTTCACTGGAGCGTGAATGAGATGGCAGCTTCGGAAGTGCCTTGGAACGGCGATCGGTTTTGTTCCCAAGAAATAAAAGGGGAGCCCATTTTTCTTTTTAAAAAATTAAACCACCATTAACTCTGCAATTTAGCCTTGTTTTGGGCTGTCTTGGGAGCCTCTCAAAGAAAGCTTCGCTCTTTGACTTGACTCCACATTTCTCCGCTGAAGTCGACTTTGGTTGGGAGGTTAAAAGGAGAAATTTACCTGCCAGGTTTTTCTTTAAATCATTTAAAAGTCATAAAGAGAATCCTTTCTGCCCCGCCCACTCCTGCTTTTATTATTGTCAACCCCCCTTTCCCCCTGTTGTCTCTCTACCTGCCTTTCAGCTCTTATTTTTCTCACAAGACCTTCGGTTGCTAATTCACTGGAGGGGGGTTGTCCTCTTGAACTCACTCTTTAGGGAAGATTGATTTTTTAAAAAAGTTTCAAGGAACGGGCTGCAGAGACCGACTCACTCCTGAAGCCCCTCGTTCCATAACGATCCTCCTGAAGGGGATCAGGGAGACTGCGGAGGGAATCCATTAGACCAAACTGAGGGAGGGTTAGGCTGCCTGCCCCTTGATCCCAACCCTTCCGACAATCGCTCAAGTTAACAACATTCTAAAAAAGAGCACAAACTCGAATTCGCTTCCTCTGCAAATAGCCGCCTTTGCAACGGAACTAAGAGAGGTTCAGAATTTCTGCCCCCTCCCCCAGCCCCACACAGACACCCCTCCACGCCCATCCTCAACTCTGCTTTCGTTGCGTCGCCTAGACAAACGGCCTTTGGAAAAAGAGACATTTCCTTTCCCATTTTCTCTGCCTTGGTCGGAGAGATTTCTGCACTTTTCCGGGTCTTCCCGACCCCTTCCCCTCCCTCCAATATGTGCAATAGGAAATCCAGCAGCTGAGGGGGGGTGGGGCAACCCCCTCCGTCCGGCCCTTACCTTGGAACCGATGGCCCAGATATCTGTATCGGTGTATTAGCCAGGGGTAGAAAGTAGAGGGGTCCCTTTGCTGCGACGCAAAGAGCGGGTGCGGGGAGTGCGAGGCCGGCAGCGGGATGCGCGGCCAGGGCGTGAGGCGGAGGCACCGGGTGCACCGGGACGGCGGCCGGATTGGGCGGGTGCGAGACGGCCTCTGCGAAGACCAAGTCCGGGTTGGAGTAGACGCCGCGGCCGCCCGAGTGGAAGCCGTTGAGGAAAGGGTTCATGGGGCTTGCGTTGGCATAGCTCAGCGCCGCCGGCCGGATGGGATCCTCGGCGCGGGAGGCGGGCAACGCAGGGCTGTCTTTGGCCACCAGAGACTCGATGGTGAAGCAGCGCTTCGGCGCCGGTTGAAACATCCTGGCGGCCAAGCGCCCGGCACCGGGGCCTCCGGGCGGCGGGCGCGCCCTCCGCTGCGCCCGCGGCTCCTCCTCGGAGGCGTCGAGGTCCGGCAGAGACGATCGGGGCGCCGGGCCCGCCTAGATCCAGAGTCTGGCAGCCGGGCAGCCGCCCGCGGTGGCAGCGGCAGCAGCAAGAGAGCCGTGCGGCCACATGGAGAGGCGAGCGCCCTGCAAAGCTCTGCGCTCACTTCATCCGCCCGACGGGAAAGCGAAGTGGGGAAGAGAAAAAGTTGCTGGGCGAAGTTCTGCCTTTCTTCTTTTTGCCCCCTTCTTCTCCTCCTTCGCCTCCTCCTCCCTTCCCTCCCGCACCTCCGTCTTGTCCTTTTTTGTGCAGCGCCCAAGGCGGCCCCGGCGAGGTCCAGCGGCAATCCAGCGAGAACGAGGCGAGAGCGCGAGCGAGCGAGCGAGCTTGCGATCGGGTCCCTTTGCCCAAAGTGGTGCAAACGATTTGTTAGTTCATGAGCCTAATTAGTGCCGAGGATCACATAAACAGCTTCCTCTGAAGCCTGGTAAATGGCTTGATGATTGGTCGCTATTACTCGCCCGGAGGTGGAAGGGGGAGACTCTTTAAAGTGCGTCAGAGGGGAGAGGCGAACTTGTGGCCGGCGCGATCCTGGAGGGATGGATCCGGGCCCGGACTGGAATGGACTCCACCGCTCTGTGCCGGGCGAGAACGGGAAGGAAAAGGGGGGGGGGTGAAAGTCACGAGAGAGAAGAGAGAGGGGGAGAGAGAGAGAGAGAGAGAGAGAGAGACGCAGCAGACGTAGCAGACGCAGCCTGCCAGAGGTCCCACCCGTGTGAGCGGAGTCGAAATCCCTCCAGGATGCAGGTAGAAGCGTGGGAGGTTTCACAACTTTGACGGGGGGGGGAGGGAGCGGGGGAGGAGGAGGAGGAGGAGGAAGACGACGACTCTTCCTTGGGGTTCAACACCGAGCTCGCCCGCCTGAGCTGGCGAGGAAATCTGGCTTTCCCCAAACTGCCTAACTGAAGAATTGTGGCGAGGATTTTCTCTCAGTGCTGGAAGTGGTGGCAAATGTCTACCGCCTGCTGTCCTCTCCTTCTCCCAGCGCCTTTCGAGTCCGCCCTCTCTGTCGGTTCTGTTTGGGTGCCCCGAGCTGATCTTCAGCCATGGGGTGGCTCGCTTCCCCCTTTCCTCAGAACCGCCCTACAGAGCAGGAAGCCGTCGACTTACTGGAGCTGTTTTCGCCCAGGAAACCTCCAGGAGTTTTCTGCGCCCAGAGAAATGCGAAACCCCAAACACCTTTTTGGCGGGGGTGGGGGGGAGCGGGGGTGTGGCTCGCCGCCTTCTGCTGATCTCCAGGGCAGCATGATGACGAGGGAGGAGGGTAGGTGTTGTAGACAAAGCTGGGACTCCGGCAGAGGGACGGGCGGCGAATCCGGCCTTGTCCGCATTTTCGAGATTACCGCGGCGTTTGGGGACGATTTTTAGGGCCGAGTCCTCCCGCTCCCATTGGCTGCTGCGGTCGAATAATTATGATCACATCCTAGTACTGCTGGCTGCTGCTTACTGTTTATTGGTAGTTAAGGATCTATTATCTATTCATCAACCTCCTATTTTTACCAATTACACTCTTCTAAAGTGAAGTACCAGCAGGTATTTTTCACGTTCTCAATTAATGATTAAAAAAAAATCTGGCGTATTTTAAATCTATTACGCTGCGGTGTGATTTATTTCGAAAGGTACAGAGGATGCACAGTGGAGTCTACATGGAAATCGGGAAGGGAAGGCTTGTTTCCAAAAGCTTTTAAGTTTTCCCTTTCATGGTTTCTCCAGCATCCCTTTAATATTATTAATAAAAGCTATTTGATGGAATACTTTTATTTTTTATTTTTTATTTTTAAAAACCCTGATTATCACATTCATTTAAATATAAGTCGAAATATATCCTGCCTTCTCCGTTGTAACTTGTCGGGAACACACACACACACACACAAAATTATATTTTAATCACATTGTCCGGGTAGCAACAAAAACCAAGAACAAAAAACCCAGACTTTGTGTCACTAGAGCAATTAGATGAGGACTCTCTCCTTCAGTTGGAGTTACTAAGGGGGTGAATTCATATACATTCCCCGTATTTTGTGTCCAATTTCTCTCTCTATTTCTCTCTCTCTCTCTCTCTCTCTCTCTCTCTCACACACACACACACACACACACACATATATATACTTGAGACAGTATAAAGTGCGTTGCTTTTATGCTTACGACCAGATGCCACACAAGCTAGAAATAAATTGGGTATAAATATAAACTCGTAGATGGAGCTTGCATATGGCTAAAATTATTATTAGGCCCTATTAATTATGCAAAAATCCCACCTATTTCTCTCTGCAGCCCATGTGGGTGGAAGTGTGTGGACAGATTAGGAACGCTGGCAGCTGTATGAAACCAAGAAGACAGGAGTGTGTGTGTGTGTTTTCTTTAATCTGCCTTTATTCCCTGTGTTTGATGTTTTGGTGTTATCATCATCATCCTGCAAAACAATATAACATTCTGGCTGCTAAACTATAAAGTGGTCATTTATTTATTGTGCCTTTAATTGGTTTTTTAAAAATCTAATCGGGCAGCGTAAAGACAATGGACAACTCTTTTCAAAGCCGCCTTGCCTTGCCTTCACCCACCGACCCATTTGAAGTTTTTTTTTTCAATTAAAAAAAAAATCCCGCTTGTCTTTTAAAGGATTAGCTCTCGTCGTAAAGCGACCAATTTCGACTCCTTCCTTCACGCCCAAATGTTATGGAAAGTAAATTTAAAAAGTCCAGCAAAGCGGGGGGCGGGGGGGGTTGAGATGGGTGTTGGGGTTACAGGCAATCTCAAGAGAAAATTGGACAACGTTAAAATGTCATATAGTCCAATCCAGAACTCAGGTCATCCTGCGTGTGTGTCTGGACTGAAACTCAAGTGACTTCGGTGGGATCCGCAGCAAGTATTTCACCATATTTACACTCTGACATCACGAAAGTGGGAATGAGCTCATTAATTTCGGTGTAGGTTATTGGGAAGGGGGTGGGGAATCGTGTGTTTCTTAAATCCTTTGGGTAAGGGCGCCCGTCTGCGATCCTCAGTGCGCTAGTATGAAAGGGTGTTTCGCTGAAATAAGGGGAATTTACAAATGCAAAGAGATTGGCAGGCCCCAGATCTCACCACGATTTACCCGTGTGTGTGTGTGTGTGTGTGTTTTAATGCCATCAATGGGATGGCGGGGCCAAGAAAGCCAGATAAATATACTTCGGATGACCCAGGTGCCAAGTTAGAACCTTAGTCCTGCTATTGTCTGAAATGTTCAAAAGGGATCGTATAGTAGTGGCGAGGAAAATCTAGCCCGGGGCTAAAGAAAGAAAGGCAACCAGCTTAAAAACAGAAGAAAAAAACCCTCCCAAAACAAGCATATCCCATAGAAAGAAATCTGACTATAGAAATAGCTCCAGCCAGGAGATTTCAGCCTGCCTGTTTTGAACGCGAGGGATGCCTTCAAACGAGTTCCTTAAAAGTTGCTTCCTCTGCGCAGGTATAGAGAGATCCCCGTTGTGAATGAATGGCCGGTCTGAGTGGAAGCCTTTGGTCTTTCCAAAGCCTCCTAGGTCGCCTGGCGCGCGGCTGAAAAGTCCCCGAATCGTGGCTCTTTATAGATACCCTCTTTGAGCTGGCTTTGCCGCGGGATTCTATGTAAGAGGGGTATCGCGTCCTCTAACAAGATCCGGAGCAGGAAGTCTCGATCCAGCTCACCCCACCCCACCCCACCCCCGTTTTTAAACCAACGGCGAGTAGAAAACGGAGACCGAACTCGGACGTGGGGAGGGAAGCCCACCATCTCCCCTCGCTGTTTCCCGACAACGCGGCGGCCGGACGGTGCCCTCATCATCCCGCGAGTTTTTCTCGGGCAGAGCTAAATTTTAGAAAACGCGTCGCTCGCCGCCTTAGGAAACTCTTGCCAGGACATTTCTCTGTGGAAGTTAATAATCGCAGCCCGACATCTCTCTCCTAGGCCGGTGCCTGGCGCGCCCTTTGCTGGAGGCACCGGCAAAAAATTACCATGCAGAATCTGAACTCTGGATTCCAGAAAGGAAAGAGGATCTTTTGCGAGAGGGTTGGCATATTTGTGACAACAACGAGGAGCGGGGGAAGTTGAGCCAGAAAAGGCGAGGGGGAAATAGGGCGCTCACTTGACCCTGCTGCATGTGGGGTTAGAAATTATTTCCCAAAGCCCAACCTTTGCCCTAGTGTTGGCGTTTCTGGCTACCTCCCCGTCTTTTCTGAGACTTCTGGGACCCCCTCCAAGATGAGATCCCTTTTAGCTCCAGATCTGAGTCTTTCCACCTTCACCCCACAACCCCAGTGATCTTTCTTCTCATCGCACAGTTGTCCACTTCTTTTTAGAATAATAATAATAATAATAATAATAATAATAATAATAATAATAATAATAATAATAATTCGACCAGCCTGACGAAATAACCCAGAGCCGTCGAGGTCGCTCAGACGCTGCCCTGGCCCAGGCGCCCTTGACTGGAATGGATCAGGATTGCGCCCACAATAAAATGCTGAGCAGGGCCGGGGTGGCGGCTGAGGTGGGGTGGTGGTGGTGGTTCTGGTTGGCTGGGAACTGGAGGGATAATTACGTGGCTTAAATGCACAAGGCAGCTCCTAAATCTCCGCAAATAGATTTAGGCGTGCTGCGAGCCCCCTTTTAAAAGCGTCTTTAGCGCTATAAGCCGGAGCTATTGCGATGGCCCGGGCCTTGCCCTTCTGCCGTTCCTCGGCTGGCGCAGGCAGATCAGACGGGAGCCGAGGTCGGGCCGGGCCGGCGGGATAAAAGAGGCGAGCGGCTGGAAGCCGGACACCAGGCTCGTGGGCAGCGGGTCAGGCCAGGCGGCCCCCGCCCGAGGCTCGCAAGCTGCTTTGCGCAGCTCGCAGGTGGATTAGCTGTCTGAGGTGAGAGCGAGACCTCCAGCCAAAGTGAATTGCAATTCCCCACCTTCCTCTGTTCCCAAACCTCAACAGGCACAGAGGGATCCAAGAAGCATGGGATCCTCTCGGGTCCAGATCCCCAGAAGGATCCCCATGCATCCTTGAACAGAATGGAGCGTCCCCACCCCATTTTTCCTTGAGCCTCTTTAGGATGGGGGGTAACGGCTTATTTCTCCTGGTACTGCCCTGCTCTCTGGGATTGCTGGGGGAAGATGCGCGGGATTGGGGGGTTTGTGCGTGAGAGAGATAATCGATCTACTAGTTGCCCATCTCTCTGCAAACTTCTCAAGTTGCTCCTCTCTCTTCCAGATCCAAGTTAACATTCACAAATCTCTTCCTATCCCCTAAGAACCACACGACGTCAAGAATTAGAATTGGGTAACTGGGCAATTAATGTTCAAAATTAATACTAACAGAGTCAGAATTAAAAGTCTGGACGGTCTATTTGGAACAGGGAAATCCCTTTTCAGCCCACCCCCGAATATATTGCACACACACCAGTTTAGAAAGTGAGAGAGTCCACACACCGACTCTCCCAATAACAGCGAGCAGAGCAGGGGGAAAGCGATATCAACTTGCCAGCCTGGGGGAGAGTCTTCCGACTTGCAGACCATCTGGGGACGTGTTTGGGTTGCTCAGCAGAGAGATTGAAAGGTCTGCCCTGTGCTAATTTTGGACTATCTCTCGGAGGTCCAGTTTTGGTACAGCCTGCAGGACCCAGGCTCTGTAATGACGCAGTGGGCGCTTAAACCGGAGTAATGGCGTTTACGCGTCAGATGGGTTCCCATGAAACTCCGTGAGTCATAAAGTGGTTCGTGATGTCCAAATATAATCATCTG